ATTTTCCTATATATTCTACTTGTTTCAGACAAAATTTTGATTTAAAGAAAACAAAAATGATCATATACGACCCATTTACAGTATTACTGGCATGCTAAGCAATTCAGTATATAGTTCTGTAAACTATAGATTATTCCACATGGTTCGCTTGTTATTGGCTCCAATGACAGCTGCATCTTGGGTAAATTTCTTTGTTCTTTGACCTCCTTTTTCTTCGACTTATATACTTTAATTTCTTCCTTCACATGAACCAGACATTGTTTACATGTTGCATTTCTATAACCACCGAGAAGATGTTGCTTCATTATATAAACCCCTCATTTTGATACGTTTGAACTAAAACCACAAACTAATGCATTTATATTTTCAACACTATTCAAACGAGCATATTCCGTGACATATCTTTTCTTAGACTGCCCTCGGTCCTCTAACCAATTACTAATAACCAATAACCAATTTAGTCGATCAAATTATTATCTCATATTAGAATCTTAGACTAAATGACTATAACCGATGAAAATGCACAGTTAGATAGAGCAAGAGAAAACAGAGAGTAATATGGAGAGAGGGGAATCAAGTGAGGAGTGAATTGGAGAGGGAGAAACATCCGAATGAGAAATCAGAGAGAAAGGAGATTGAGAGGCTGAGAGAGAGGGAGAGAGAGAGAGAGGGAGAGAGAGAGGGAGAGAAGCCCATGCATGTAAGGTTTTTATAATTTTTTTAATAATAAACCACCACTTTACTTTAAAAAAATATAAATAAAAATTAATTCAATAAGCATTAGAGATGAGCAGAGCGTTCGCCTCAGGGGCTTCATGGAAGGCGCGCACCTTGGATGCACCTTTCTACTAACGTCTTGGTCTTTAGAAGCGAGGTGCTTCCCATGAGATTTGCACCTAGGTGCACCTTTTAAAACACTGGTTGGTGATGGACTTCCTCTGTTTTGGAATCTGTGAAATCAGGCAATCGAAAAAAGAATTTCTGTCTATTCTCAAATACCAATTGAAAATGGAGAGCTCATTCAAGTATTAAGGTATGGATATAATTTTGTTTCTGTGAAGATGCATGTGAACACGAAGATTGGTTTGTACTTCAGTTTTAAGGCTAACATTTCAAGCAGTACAGGTACGAGAAGAATCAATTATACAAACCCCACCATGACTACTTTTCTGATACTGTAAGATTCTGTTATTTAGTTATTCTTATTTCTATTTTAAGCATGCTAGACTCGTGCTTTTACTGATAGCAAGTACCGTTTCTTCCACGTGTTCTTTTTACAGTTTAACTTGAAGCGTGGTGGTCAGCGAATTGCAACCATGCTTATGTATCTAACTGATAACGTTGAAGGTGGAGAAACCTACTTTCCGAAGGTATTTACCATTTTCCTTGCTGAATTAAATTTCGTTGGTATAGTGCGTTCGTCTTCTTACCCTGTTTATAAAAACCAACCAATTGGGAGTTGATACTGTATAGTGCGTTACGATGTTTATAAAATCCAACCAATACTTAATTAATGATGGACATGGCATAGGCGTTACGGTGCAACATTTTGTTAAATGTTAGGAATGGGTATGGAAGGGACACATTTAATAAAAAATTCCTGGGGCGTGCTGTTGGGGCAATGGCATCATTTAGGTTATATGGTTAAAAGTTGTCTATTTACGTTTCCGTTATTTAAAACTTATTTTTCAATAATATTTTTAAATTTTTTTACTCAACTTTGAAAACAAAAGGTTTCATATTTTTTAAATTTTGGTTACAATTTGAAAAGAATTAGAAAAATGTTGGCATATGGTCAATGTGAGTCGATATAAAGGAGGAATGAGTTCAAGCCGTGATAGCTACCCCACTTAAGATTTAATGCCCTATGAGTTCTTTCAATCAAATATTATACGGTTAGGTGGTAGTTTTGTGAAAATAGTTGAGGTGCACACCAGTTAATTGAAAGGCTCACTGATATATAATACTAATAACAACAATAAACAAGGTAAAAAAGTTACATCGTATTTAATTAAGTCATGGGTAACTGCGGTTTAGAAACTAATGTACATTTGCAATAATCAACTTTTCCCAGTAGAGTAGCCTATCTGTGACAAGGAAGGCCACCCTAAGTTAGCGAAGTTGCCTACTCTGAGATCATAATAATTTAACTTTTAAATTGTTTTCCCTTTCGGACATGAATACAGCTATCGGTAGACAAGACAATGTCGGCTTTTCCCCTTTTAAAATTTGTTTTTCTCGGTCGTATCCATGTTTTTGGAATGTTGTATCCTGAACTTTCCTTTTGTATGTTTCCTCAGGCTGGTTCTGGCATGTGTAGTTGTGGTGGGAAAACCGTCCCAGGGTTGTCAGTTAAACCAGTCAAAGGAGATGCAGTGCTTTTCTGGAGCATGGTATGTATCTTTTGCCTCTCAAAACGGAATAAAAAAGTGAAAAATTATTGATTTTGAATACTAAACCACGTGATCAACTCCCAAGTGGTGTCCTGATAAGTACCCGGGATGTTTGGAGGAGATACCTCCAAAATGTTGGGTCGAAGCTTGAAGTTGAGAACCAAATAACCTAAAATTTTTGTTCTCTTGGAGTTGGGCTTGGGGAGGGTCATGAACATAATGGAAAAAGTGAGGCTTCAGATATGAGCTTAGTTTCAATTTAGTCTTTTTATAGCTTAAAAGTTTCAATTTTATTGTTATGTTTTGGGCTTAATTGAAGTTTACTATGTCAAGTCGTTACTATATCGAATACGTGAAAATGAGTTAATGTTTTCTATTTGACTCGTTACATTAGGGGATCATGTGAGACTTTATATAGCTACCTAACAAATAGAGGTAAATGAGTGGATTTTAAGTAGGTATAGGGACCATCTGTGAGATTTGACCAAACTCGAGGGACTAAGTTAAAACTTTTAGAATTTAAAGACTAAATTGAAACAAAACAAAAATCACAATGCGACCCTACTGAAACGAAGCTCAAATCACAAGAACCAAATGAGTAAAAACCCGTATTCGGAATTCAAGAAAGAAAATGCTAATTTGCTCAGTTAGACTCCATATTGATATGAATGTGGATGTAGAGGTAGCTATTGTATTTTTTAACCATTTCCTCTTCATGGAAACGCTTCAGGGATTGGATGGACAGTCGGATCCTAATAGCATTCATGGAGGTTGTGAAGTACTGGGAGGCGAAAAATGGTCTGCCACAAAATGGATGAGGCAAAAGAGTACTCTGGTAGCCACACCTTAAACTCTACACTTCCATTGTATATCAGCATTGAATATTTTGTTACATAACAAATAATAAATTTATAGTGGGAGAAGGAAAGAGAAAAGGAGAGCCTAATTTAGATAATTTAGATAAATTTATGTGGGAATTCTCTAGATACCCTTGTATTATTATAGATATATCTATCTTTTTGCAATTTGGACCATTTGTCTCTGATCAACCGAGTATGCCACACCAAAACAACATGTCATTCATGTATATGTATGAGGTAGGGCTGTACTTTGTACTCGACAACCTACCAACCTGAACTGACCTAGCCCGAATTATAGTGGTTCAGTTGGGTCGGATTAGCATTTCAGGTTAAGTTGCGTTAATTTTTTTGAGCCTGAATAGATTGGGTTCAAGTTTCAGGTTTATTAGACAAAACTTACGGAAGGACTCGAACCAAACAAAATCTTATAAAATAGAGTAAGACATCTTGCATATTCATGAGTTTGTTAGGGTGGTTATTCGTTGTCACTAGGAATGCTCGGCATAGGTTCGACTCCCGCCTGATTTTATTATAGTTTCTTTTATATTATTTTATTATTTGTTTATCATTTTTTATTTCATAAACGTCTCTTTTATGAAATAAAAAATGATATTCAAATGATTACGTTGTAGATATTCAAAGGTCACACTCCCAGAGGACCCCAAGATGGGGACGCCAAAGTTGGGAGGCTTGTTGATGGCGATCAACATCTCAACGCTGCCAAAGTTTCATTGGGAGTTCTTGGAATTATTACACAGGTGATCACATCTCCCTGGTCTCTTCTTTTTCTTCTTCTTATTAGACCATCAAAATCCCTTTTCATATCAAAATTCTTTAAAGTTTATAGGTTGACTTAATTATTTTACGATTAAATTGTAGTCTTAAATTGCAAGAAAGTAATGGCGCCTACCAAGTTCATGAAATCAGGATAGGGTATAGCGAGAGAAAAAAATGATTGCAATAGAGAGACTATCAATCATGTCAGATTGAAAATCGAAATTGAGGAAGAGAGAGGTGAGTGAGAGAGAACAAGTCAGGCAAAGGGGCAAGAGCTATTGTGAGAAAGAGATCCGGGAATTCATAACCTCAATTTTGTAAGTCCAACTACCATATCTATGTCAAATGGGAATTCAAAATTTAAAATAAAATGAAAATATAGTCTTAAGAATTGAGAGTTCAAATTACCAAAGGGACATTAATTGAAAATTCTAACCTGAAAGAATAAAAGAGGGTGGAAAATGATAGGGAGATGTTGGCGAATGAATAATGACATCCAACAAAAAAATAAATAAATTGGAGAGTGCTTTCACGTGGGCTATGCCCAAAGTTGTGGTAGAGGACAACTCTCCTACGTAAAAGGATACAAATTGATTGGTCATTCCTTTCCCAACGATATCTAGGATTCAGAATCCAGGTTTTTTCATGCATTCCTTGTGACAGGGTCATGTTACTTATCGATTTTGAGTGAAAATTATCCCTAAAGACCAACGTGAGTTCTTTTAGCATTTTGTGTACTTACTCCCATGTATTAGAGGTCATCAAATATAAAATTGCATGTTTAACTATAAAATTCTTATTGATTGAGTGACTAAAAGATGTTGTACCTTTTTTATATAGGTATTTTTAATTCTTTCAAGTGTTATTTAGTTATTTTATTCTTAGAATCGTTCTGATTCTGATGTGATTTTAGTTTATTCATATCATCTACTTCATTTCGATCGGGTAAAAGTGATATACAAAGTTGATTAAGTTGATTAAGGTCGATTGGACTTTTGTGGACAAATTATTAAGTAAAATTACCGCACAACTAAGCGATAAATAAAGCCCCTTCATTGTGAACTCCACCTTTCTGCTTTTCCACCTTCCAAAGCTGAGTCCCGCCGGCCGACGGAAAAATGGGCTCTGTAACAAACTCCGGTGAGTACCATATTCTCATGCTACCGTTCATGGCCCANGGCCATCTCATCCCCTTCCTCGAGCTCGCTAATTTCATCCACCGGAAATCCTCTGTTTTCACCATCACCATCGCCTGCACCCCCTCCAACATCCAATACCTCCGCTCCGCCGCCGCCGACTCCAAAATCCGCCTCGCTGAACTCTACTACTCGAGCTCCAACCATGGCCTTCCGCCAAACACCGAGAGTACTGAGAATCTCCCTTTAAATCAAATCGACACCCTGTTTCATTCCTCGACCGCCCTCGAACTTCCCCTTCGGGAACTGATCTCCGACCTCGTCCAGAAGGAAGGCAACCCGCCGCTGTGTATAATCTCCGACGTGTTCTTAGGTTGGTCGGTAGCCGTCGCCAGGAGCTTCAACATTCCAGTTTTCAGTTTCACTACATGCGGTGCTTATGGAACTCTGGCTTACGTCTCTCTCTGGTTGAATCTCCCCCACCGGTCATCCACCAGCGATGAGTTTTCTCTCCCGGGGTTCCCGGAAAATTGCCGTTTCCACCGCTCCCAGCTCCACCGGTTCTTACTCGCCGCCGACGGCACCGATTCCTGGTCCAGGTATTTCCGGCCGCAAATCTCCTATTCTTTGAGCTCAGATGGGTGGCTCTGTAACACCGTCGAAGAAGTCGAGTCATTCGGATTGAAACATTTGAGGGATTACATAAAATTGCCCGTCTGGGCAATTGGCCCGCTTCTCCTCCAAACCAGCTCCGGCGGCCGTCGCCGGTGGGGGAAAGAGAAAGATTCCGGCGTGGGTTTAGAAACTTATATGAATTGGTTGAATTCTCACCGGAAAAATTCGGTTCTGTACATTTCCTTCGGATCCCAGAACACAATTACCGAGAGCCAGATGATGGAACTGGCTTACGGATTGGAAGAAAGCGGGAGTGCATTCATATGGGTGGTGAGGCCGCCATCGGGACACGACATGAAAGCAGAGTTCAGAGCTCATCAATGGCTGCCTGAGCATTTCGAGGATCGAATGAAGGAGACGAATAGAGGATTGGTGATCAGAAACTGGGCACCCCAGTTGGAGATTCTAGCGCATGAATCGGTGGGAGCGTTTTTGAGCCATTGTGGGTGGAATTCGACGGTGGAAAGCTTGAGCCAGGGAGTGCCGGTGATCGGGTGGCCGATGGCAGCAGAGCAGTCGTACAATTCAAAGATGCTGGTGGAGGAAATGGGGATTGGAGTGGAGCTGACGAGGGGGAAAGAGAGTGAGATTAAGAGAGGAAGAGTGAAGGAGGTGATAGAAATGGTGATGGGGGAAGGTGGGGAAGGGGAACAGATGAGGAACAAGGCCGCCATTGTTAAGGACAAGATGAGAGCTGCAGTTATGGACGAACAAAAGGGTTCCTCTAACACCAACTTGGTGGACTTTCTTGAATTCATTCGAGCCAAACAGAAGAGTCTAAACAAAATCAAATAATATGTTGTTATTTTTAACTTCAATAAAATTACTTCATTTTAAAATTTTTGGAAAGGATTAGATAATTTTTTTTAAAATAAAAAATTCATGCATAGACAATTTTAAAACAAGATATGACAAATGGTCCAAATTAATTTATTTATGAAAAATTGGAATATTAAAAAGATACATTTATTAATTTAGAGTTTTAAATGATATAAATTCTAAACCCTAATTCAAGTTTAAATACCATTTAATTAAATTTAAATTAATTTTAAAAAATAAAATGAAGGTAAATATTAGAGGTAAAAATGGAGAATAGAAATGGATTCATTTTATTGTATTATCAATATTATTATTATTATTTGTTGGTTTATGATTATTTTTTTTTATGTAATTATTGAAGACCTTATTAACCCACGTCTCCCTTGGTGACATCCACATGCTTTGCCTTAATTTAAGACCTCATAAAACTCACTTTCTCGTAATAATAAAATGTTTGGATCAAAGTACCTTAAATTATTTCTAATTTATTAGATTAGTTAATTGTAGATAATTAATAATAAATTATTAAAATAATTTTAAAGTACTATTATAAATAATATACTTTTTAGATTTGTTTATTTTATTCAGGAATCACTCTACTATCTTAAATTTTTTGAATAAACAAATTATATAAATTTTTAAATGGTAACCATTTAAAACCTAAGGAACCATAAAAACTAAATTAAATTTTTTGAAACAAACTAGAAAATCATATACGTACTTAGCCTTCTAACATTTTACTTTGTAAGAAAAGCATTCCCCCTTAACTTGTTTAGGTATTTTTCAATACCCTTCTTTTTAGGATCTAATTCTTTGCATTTCTTTAAATTACTTAATTCTTCGATTTATAATGTACTAGTCAGTTAGAAAAAGTTTTATCCAAGTTTTAACTTTATTCAAGCCCTTCTTACCTATTGATGAACCGTTCTCATCTTTAGCTAGAGATAGTTCATAACCTTGACTTCGCTCACGAGGCTAGGACTTGGGTCAGGGTTTAGGCCACGTATTCACTGATGAATGAGGCTGATATGTATCAAATTAAGTATCACAATCAACAATAATGAACATTAACTCTTGTGCATGTACCACACTAAGATTCATCACCCAACCATTTTTAATAGAAATTCAAACCTCTAATCATTTAATAGTTAAAAAATATGATAAAGATAAGTATGCTATGCTTAGATAATATAACTATGGACACAACATAGCGTAGGGTTTAAACCAAAAAATGAATTTGAATGCCCTGAAAAATGGGAGATTTTATAAAATGTTGGTTACACCATCTTCCCTCTATATATGAAAATTTCATACAAATCTCTGGCTGTTTTAAGGTATATATCCCTAAAGTGCCAAAAATTGGTACAACCAAAATCACCCAATAGTAACTATTGGAAGGGAGAACGAAAAATATAAACAAACAAACTTCAAAAATGAGGAATTTCAAATAAATGAACTAAGAATATAAATGTATGTGGGGGGTAATTCCATGAAATGTAGTTTGGCCAATCCAACAGGATCTTTGAGGATTTAAGAGAAAGACCATCGTCATCTTGGATAAAAGGAACAATATTAGGGATCAGACTGACGTGCAATAGAGTTCAGCACAGTATCTACCTCTGTTGAACATTTCAATTTGTCTTCATTTCCCAAATTTCACCTTGTAGCCCATGAACATAATGGATGTGGGAAAACAAAAAATATAATAGAAAAGAAATAACACTCAAAAAAGTTTTTAAGAGTTTTGAGTTAGTTTATAATCTCCTTTCTCCATGCTCTGAAAACATTTGGGTCAAGCCAAATTTGTACTAGCAGCATGGGCAACGTCTTCTGACCCCAATTTGAGAAGAAGATTTTGGAAAACAGGGCATAGAGATTTTGAAAGAGAGTTCAAAAGCAAAATCGAGACTTTGAAAGCAATGTTATATGACATACTGGCAAAAGGCAACCCAACGGCCAAAGGAGCTTATAACTTTTCAGGGTAGGGGGAGCAAAGTAACTAAAAATCTTAAGATTTAGAAGCTTGGAAACAAGAAATATAACATTAACAACAAGGGATCAGACTGACGTGCAAATAACAAGTTCAGCATAGCAACTGCCTCTGAAAGTATTATGTAGCTTATCATCATTTCCCAAACCCAATAAAGTAAAATAGTCGCTTGGATGCACATCACATTTCTCATCCCAAAAAACATAAAAAGATTTTCGAAATAAGAAAATAAAAAAACATGAAAAGATAAAGACCTTTTTCTTTGTGAATGATCAAAAAACAACAAAAGTAGCAAACCAACCACATATCTTTTAACATTTAGAAACTTGGAAATGAGAAATACAACACTAACAAGGGATCAGACTGACGTGCAAATAATAAGTTCAGCATAGCAGCTGCCTCTGAACGTTTTCTGTAGCTTGTCATCATTTCCCGAACCCGATAAAGTACAACACTAGCATGGATTCACAACACATTTCTCATCACAAAAACATGAACGATTTTCACATTTAAAAGCTTGAAAATGAAAAATATATCATTTACAATAATGGATCAGACTGACGTGCAAATAACAAGTTCAGCATAGCAGCTGCCTTTGAAAGTTTTCTGTAGAATGTCATCATTTCCCAAACCCGATAAAGTAAAAAACAAGAACAATCTTATGAACCCAAGACAAACAGTTACCAAAAAATAACAGAGCGATAAAAATTAGAAACACATGTTGGTGAATATCGCTACTTCATATATATTCAGAAACCAAGAAGCTAGATCATTGCTTGAACTTTGCAATCTCGCCAATAAAACCAGAACTTCATAAACATTGCTCATATTTGGTTATGCGATAATGAAGATCAAAACAGAAACTAAGTAAAAAGTAGATGACTCATAATTAGTTATGCGATCATACGATAAGGCAGACACACAGACAAAGGAAATGCGATAAAGATTAGTGAAGTACCTTTCACGGATTTTAACTCACGCGAAGAAATCCACACATCGTTAGCAGTCCGACACTCAAGTAGAAAAAAGCTCAAGAGCTCCACCGGAAATGCCTCGGGTATGTTGTTGTAAGTACCATCGCTAGCATTATGAGTATCGCAACTGTGGGTGACATCGGGGTTTCTCTTTGAGCTGGGGGCTCCTTCCTAGGGTTTCGAAGAGAAGCTTCAGAAACCTCGTCAGATTTTTCTAAACCCCCATTGACGTAGCTTGATGGAAGACTTTAGGGTTTCATAAGTGGAATGCAGCAACAACTCCTATATAAAGGAAATTTAGACCTTTTAGTGCGCTTGTAGGAATGGGCTGGAAAGCCCAGTTCAATAGCCCGTAGCCCAAAATCCTGGCCCAAATCAGGCTCACAAGTCCATCCATCTCTTTCTTTTTTATTTGGGCCGGCCCGTTAGAATTAAGTTAGGTTTTGCATTATTTAATTCAAATTAATATACATTAAAAAATAAATATATACATAAATTACACTTTTTGTGCGGAGAGGTTCCCCACCGTTATACGGAATGCTTCGTAGCGTGCTCGATGTATAATTCTGATACCATTTGTAACAACCAAAAGTCACCGCTAGTAGATACTATATGCTTTGGTGGCTCGTTACGTATCGTCATCAGTCTCACAGTTTATAAACGTGACTGCTAGAGAGAGGTTTCTATATATCTTTATAAATAATATTTCGTTCCAGTCTCGAGTCGATATGGGATTTGTTTCAGCTCTCGACTTTATTTTTCATAGATTCTTCATCCCATTTAAGGCAAATCTTTAGCTCAACGAGTTAAACGAGCATAGATTAAAAAATAAAAAGAAATAAAAAATAAGGGAGTTGGTAAGGTTGAAACTCAACCATCCTTTCAATTTCTCCCAAAAGACATTTTTTAAAGATCGAAGCATGGCCTTTCTCCACTTCTAAAGTGTTTGACCTTTTTATTTATCTTTTATTTTTAATTCTCAAATAATAAAATCTCAACAAATTCAAACACATTAATCTCTTCAATTCCCCACTATACCTTATGGTGGAATCACCACCTTTGCTTCTAGAAGTTGACAAACTTATTGGATCCTTACAACAAAAATACCAAATCTTCCTCTTTTCCTAACATTTTACTAAAATATATCCTTAAAAAACATCGTGCTAGGGTACGACTGTATCAATTTTTATGCTTCAATTTCATATTCTCGAGTGGGAATAATTAAGTGGCATGTCCAGAAAGTGGTCTTGTTGGGTTGGATTAGATTGAATTCTTTTAAATGTACGAAGGCAGTAAAAAATGACTAAGACTCCAAAAGAGTCGAACCTCGATTAAGGGGAGGTGTTGGATGATAAAAGTCCCACATCGGCTAATTTAGAGAATTTAGGGATGATCATGGGTTTATAAGTGAGGAATACTAACTCCATTGGTATTGAGCACTTATGCTCAAAGTGAACAATATCATACCATTGTGGACTCCAAAAAGAAAAAAGGAGTCAAGCCTCCTCGAGGTACGAAGGCAGTAAAAAATGACTAAGACTCCAAAGAAGTCGAGCCTCGATTAAGGGGAGGTGTTGGATGATGAAAGTCCCACATCGGCTAATTTATGGAATTTAGGGAATATCATACCATTGTGGAGAGTCGTGTTCGTCTAACACGGCCAACTTATACTTGGAAGTAAAGCATACCTAAATTTTTGCATGAAGGAAGTATATTTGAAATGGGCTTTCATGGGCCAGCTTTGCCGCATTAGTTCCTTCATTAATGGGCCGCCCTAATAGCCCACACACACACAATATATATACATTTTTAGGAAGTATATTACTTTGTAACAATTTGACTTAACTTTAAATGGTCTTCCTATTATTATTTTTACTTTTATAAAAACCATATATCTGATTTAATGATAATAATAATAATAATAATAAAATAGAAAACTCATATTTTCAATGCGATTAAATCATTTAACTAAATGTATTTTTTAATTAAAACTTTATTATTCATTGAATCGAGACAACTTAAACTAACCATCTTATGTTAAATAATTAATTATTATAAGGAAAAAGACAAAAAAGACATTTAAATTAAATAAAAATATAATTATAATAATAATAATTTTTTAATTTTGTCAAATTATTTTAGTCTCTGTAAGGCACCTCATTGATTTAGGGTACATGGATGACAACTCGAAACGGCGGCGTTTGGTTCACATCTAGATCTAGACGCCAAATTAGAAGAACAGTTACATTTGACAGACAAACGTTCAAACTATTATTTTCTTAATATTTTACCCAATTTTTTTTATTACATTCAGAATGAGTTTTTAAAATATTTACTATAATTTTAAAAATCATTTCCATATCTCATAATAAAATATTATCCTAATGTTTTTTGCACGTTAATTAATCACCAATAATTTATATATATATATATGATACGATATTCTAGAGAATCTCTCATATTAATTAAAAATTCCAATTTTCTTTTAAAAAATATTTGATTTTTAAAAAAACAATAATCAATTTTCTATAATATCACGGAAAATACAATTTTTTTTTTTAATGTAATCAAATTATACATCCAGTAAACACTCTCAATTAAATAATTAAAATATTTTTACTCTTTTTTAGTGGTATTTTATTTTACTAAATTATTAATATTACAATTTAATAATTTAAAAAAAAAAGTCAAAGTTTTGATAAGTATAAATATTTATATAAATTGGAAGCAAACGCAATGCTTAGGTGTTGGGATGTCATTTTTTTTTAATAAATATGGTTTTTTGTGTGGATATTTATTCGTAATAAATTAACAAAATAAAAAAGGAAATTTCCAAAAATAGACCGGAAAAAATTATTAAATGTTTTAACTATTTTATTTTTATCCGTGCTCTCTGATCATCCTAATTGCATGTGTTTGCATTTGTATGACCCTTGTAGTGAGACCACATACTGAGTATTTCTCGAAATACTTAAGCCGTGTGTCACATCATTTTTCAAGTAAAGTCAAGACGCACTTATACGGAGGGCTGCGACATCGCGAGCTGGCACGAGCAAAGACGGTGGCATAGCGAAAATTTGAAGAAACGTTATTAATGAAACAAATTGTTAGGTAGTATAGTAAAACCAATAGGTCAATTTCAAATTAGTGAGACAAATTTCATTAACAAATGTGTCCATAAATGAAATGAAATGTAATGGACTCAAGTTTATCTAATCTTATCAAATAGAATCATATTATTTATAATGTCCATTGTTGGATGATGAAAGTCCCACATCGGTTAATTTAGGGAATAGTCATGGGTTTATAATCTAAGAATACACTCTCCATTGGGATGAGGCCTTTTGGGAAGCCCAAAGCAAAGTCATGAGAGCTTATGCTCAAAGTGGACAATATCATACTATTGTGGAGAGTCGTGTTCGTCTAACATGGTATCAGAGCCATGCCCTAAACTTAGCCGTGTCATTAGATTGGCAAATCCTTAAATGTCGAACCTCCTCGAAGGTACGAAGGCAGTCAAAAATGACTAAGACTCCAAAGGAGTCGAGCCTCGAATAGGGGAGGCGTGCTTTGTTCGAGGGGAGGTGTTGGATGATGAAAGTCCCACATCGGTTAATTTAGGGAATGATCATGGGTTTATAATCTAAGAATACACTCTCCATTGGGATAGGCCTTTTGGGAAGCTCGGACAATATCATACTATTGTGGAGAGTCGTCTAACATCCATTATTAAAATTTTGTAATGTACACTTACGAATAAGCTGTCGTATTAATGACTAATTTATCCATAATTGACAGGTTAAGATATTATTGACAGGTTAAGATATTATTGTAATGCTGAGTAAAGAAAAGATGCGTCGTTTAAATGAGAATAATGTGAGATCCTACATCGGTTAGAGAGGAAAACATATATTCGATACATAATGGACCAAAGCGGACAATATCTATCCTACATCGGTTAGAGAAGAAAACATATATTCGATACATAATGGACCAAAGCGGACAATATCTATCCTACATCGGTTAGAGAAGAAAACATATATTCGATACATAATGGACCAAAGCGGACAATATCTATCCTACATCGGTTAGAGAAGAAAACATATATTCGATACATAATGGACCAAAGCGGACAATATCTATCCTACATCGGTTAGAGAAGAAAACATATATTCGATACATAATGGACCAAAGCGGACAATATCTACAACGGGTAGATTGAAAGCAACGAGGTCTGATTCTAAGCATGAGACGCTACAGTTTTGAACTTGATATAAATTGTTTAATATGAGTCGTGACGTTGAATATTGTATATAACAAAGTTCAATATACATAATATATAGTTTGATAGTGAAAGTCTTTAAAAAGCAAAATTCATATGAATATGGTATGTCGTATCATATCCATTTAAGAAAAGAAAAGGAAGAAGAAGATTCGGAGTGAATTGACAATTAAATTGCCAGCATGACGTCATCCTTACGTCATCCTTCTTTTTATTATTATTATTTTTTTTATAATTTCACTTTTTGAGTTTCTATTTATTTAATTTTGGTTAGAATTTGAAAATATGTTTAAAAGTAGATAATAAAATTAAATTTGATGGGAATTTAGAATTAAAAAATAAAAAATAAAAAATAAAAAAGCGACATCATCATGATTCAATGTTGACATCATAATTTAATTTATGATTGGTTAAAAATGAAATAAATAAAAAAAGAAAAGAAAAAGAATTGTGTCCCCACGTCCTAATTTCCCCACGCTTTCAATCCCTATGCGTCGCCTGTGGGTCAGAACCCCAAAAACCCCCAAATTCATATATAAAGGAAATCCCGAAGCACCAATCCTCTCATCGCAATTTCTACTCTGTTTATGAAATCTTCTCTTGCCCTCATTTTCAAACTCCCCGCCATTCTGTTCCCCAGATTCTCGATTATCCCCACCACCGCCATTTCCGCCACCATGTCCACTTCCGATCACTCTTCCCCCGCCTTTGACAGACCTCGCTCCGTCGTCAAGAAGGTTCTCGCTAAACTCCAGCACGAAGGCGATGGCGCCGTTGTTCGTCGAGGCATCGGAAGGTCTCTTTCCTTCTTCTTTCTTCGTTCTTTTTTTATTTTTTTATTTTATTACCGGTTCCTCTTCGTCTTCTCCGCTGCTGATTTTATTTCTCGTCTCTGTTTTTCAGGAGCGATTTGAAGAATCTGGATCCATTTCTGATGCTCGATGATTTTTCCGGTAATC